TTCTGAACTCCCCCCATAGCTGCGGCAGAATAGCTGGCAGCACGCCGTTGTCTATGTTATAGACGAGCTGCAGCAGCAGCAGCAGACAGAGGGTGCAGCAGATACCTCTTGGGTTGTTGCTGCAGCAGCTGCATGACTCTTTTCCTTCTCCTGCTGCTGCTGCTGCTGCTGCTGCTGCTGGTGCTGCTGCTGCTGCGGTCGCGGAGGCAGGGGGAGATAGTTGGTACGCTGACTCTGCTGCAACTGGCACATATACTGCTGCTGCTCCTGCTGCTGCTGCTGCTGCTGCTGCTGCTGCTGCAGATGATGATGATGATGATGCACCAGAAGATGTTGCAGGGGTGCTTCCATTCTCACTCTGCTGCTGCTGCTGCTGCTGTTGCTGCTGCTGCCGTTGCTGCTGCTGCTGGGTAGAAGCTGGGCGACAGACAGCAGCAGAATAGCGGCCGTCTGCTGCTGCGTCCCGGGGTGGCTCCAACGGCATATCCTGCTGCAGTTGCTGCTGCAGTTGCTGCTGAAGTTGCTGCTGCTGCTGCTGCTGCTGCTGCAGCTGCAGCTTAGGCAAATCAAAGACTGCTCGGGGCGGCCACGTGCTGTGAGCCGTCTCTGTTGCTGCTTCTGCTGCTGCTGCTGCTGCAGCAGCAGCAGCAGCAGAGGGAGAATAGACCTCACTCGTATGAGGGTTAGTGGGGTCGAAGGAGCTGCCTCCTACAGGCACAGCAGCAGCAGCAGCAGGAGCAGCAGCAGGAGCAGCAGCAGGAGCAGCAGCAGGAGCAGCAGCAGCATCCCAATCTGCTGCTGCTCCCCTGATGTGTTTGTCTGCATGAGTAGTTCGAATGCTGCCGTTGTATCGGCTGCAGTTCGTGCTGCTGCTGCTGCTGCTGCTGCTGCTGCTGCTGCTGCTGCAGCGAGCGTCTGTGAAGGCACGCACAGCAACAACAGGAAAGCCTAGGGGGGGTGTATCTGCTGCTGCCCCGTATAATTCATCTGCTGGCTGAGCAGCAGCAGCAGCAGCAGCAGCAGCAGCAGCAGCGGTGGCAGCATCTTCGTCATCGTCAGCAGCAGCAGCAACAGCAGCAGCAGCAGGAGCAGCAAAGCTGCTGCTCCCAGCAGCAAGACGAGGGGTTTGACTATCCATCAGCTGGAGGATCTCTTTGGTTTAGTGTTGCTGCTGCTGCTGCTCTTTAGTTGCTGTCGTTGCTGTTGCTGCTGCTGCTGTTGCTGCTGCTGCTGCTG